AATATAATCAGTGATAAGATTTTTAGCTGTATATCCATGTAATGTAATAATAAACTGATCAATGTTAACCTTTAAAATGTTTAGTGCCAAAGACGCCTTGGAACATNTTTTAGATTAAACTAACACATTTAAAATATAATAAACAATTTATAAATTAAATTTTATAAAAAAAAAAGCGAGTCTTTATACTTCGCAAGTCACTGAACTTGTGAGAATTAGAATAGCTCGCTTTACGACAGTTTTTCGTTGTCAAATATAGTATTTTAGCTATTGTATCACATAAAGAAGACTTATAATATGCCATTTTATAGTCATAATATCTAAAATCTATGTATGTCGTAAAGCGGGAGTCTGTTGTATATATTGTAATCATGATCCCCTTGATCACGATTACAATAAGGTAGACAATGCATGCCCTATAAAAGACAATAAAAATATTTTTTTATTCAATTTTCATAGCATAATTCACCTGAATTTCTGTTCTAATATACCTGTCCGGGCGATACCTTTCTTGGAAGATCGCTCTTATTTCATGAATCCAATCCTTTCTTCTAAATGTCTTCCATTTTCTACATGAATTTTTTAAAATTAACAAAGTAAATTAAAAATATAATCAGTGAAAATTTTAAAACACATGTAAACATTGGCTGCAATGTTGCAATGGCCTTGAAAATTTTCAGTACATATCTGATAGAAACATTACTAGTGATGTAGCTACAATAGAGTCCCGCTAATCAGAACATGATTCAATCGGCAGAGAAAAAATTTTTTAGCTTACAAAATGTATGTTTTTTTGTATTTTCCAGTTAAATTTAAATGGTATTAATGGTACAAAAACATTTAGAATTCCACAAAATGATTATTGTGTTTTATTGTAGCACTGTATTAATACTTTACAAAATTAATAAATCAGTGTTTGACATGGCCTATTAAAACGGCAGATTTATATAGTAATTACACACAAAAACAGGAATAAAAGTCATTTTTCAGAAATTATTTATTTCTTCTATTTCTTAAATCTATTTCTTTCTTTTCACATAATGATGAAAGTCAACTATAAGATGCTATGTTTCGCCACTGCCTCATAAACATGCAGTCTGTGGGTGAAGTGCTAGGATGAAGTTCCTAAAGTGTAAAGATACAATACTTGTTTTTATTAACTGTTTGCACCCTTTATTGAGTGCAAGTTAGATGAAATAAAGAGTGGGGTGCTGATGTCATTGATGGTGTTGGATCTATATAAACCAGACCTGTTTTACTGTTTGCTTTTGCATTATTTCAATTATTTGGCTAATCCGAACAGGGCTCGGTCCCAATTAGTTTGGACTATCAGGACTCTACTGTATTTAAAATATTTTCTTTTATAGTTTTAAACTTTCTTGTATTTGAATCAGATTATCAAATTTTGATAATCTGATTCAAATACAAGAAAGTTTAAAACTTAAAACAAAATATTTTTAAATCTAATAAGACAGTTTAAAAAAAATGTTCTTAAAATTTTTAAAGTTTGATCTTTTTTGTAGCATTAGCCTTTATATTAATTTAAAAGAAAAACAGAAATGTAATTTTAAAAAATTTTATCTTTAATATAATTTAATTGATTACATATTTTTAATATATAAGGAGTTCAAAGGCTGCCCACTCCAGTATCTCTTGTCACTTTTTGAAACATTTCACATCTGTGTCATAATTTATAATAATATATTATATAAACAACATTATTGTTCAGAATTATTTAATTAATACTCATAAAACTAATTTTTTTTTAATTTAGTAAATAATAATTAATTGTAAAACAAAAGACAATGATGTAATTAAAACAATGCGAATGAAATCATTGAGCAAATGCTGTGGCATTCTGTGAAGCATGAGCACTAAACTTTTCAGTGTATAAAAGTTTTTTTTTTTTTTTTTTCAAGATTTCAGATTTTTCTGTTAATATACTTAATGTTCCTTTTCAACTGTACCATTGTATTTTATCTGTAAACATCTGCTTCTACTCAAGCATTTCATCTCAATGAAACCAATACAGCTTTATTATATAAGAAACTGGTATTGTTTAAGTCTTAAAATTCCAATGTAAGATATTTTTTATTAAAAGAGAACCTAAAAAATTGTTCAATTAATCAATAGTTTATATTAATTGTTTAGAAAGACTGAATTAAAAATGCTTATTATTATAATGTATGTAATTGTACCCATCTGAAAATAGAATTTTAAAAGAATTTTATGTATAAGTTTGTTCATAATTATAGAAGTTAAAAAATATATTTTATAAGAGTTCAGTAAATTATAACAATTTTATATCAAACAGAATGTAAATTTAAATAATTTCAGATATCAATGTATGCTAATTGAGTTTGTTAAAAAAATTTTTTTGGCAGAAATGATTAGGTTATCATCAGTCCTCAGTCTTCAAATACACTCTGTTGTGATCTATTACTAGGGCATGCAAAAATTTGTATTTATGTCTTCACTAGAGAATTCTTCTGAAATGCTGTTTAGTTCCATCTATACAGCATCTCACATTTCTGAAATTGACTGGTTGTCTACCTTTCAAAGCAAATTTTAATTTGGAGAACAGGAACTGGTCAGTTGGGGGTTTCTGATCCCAAAATTAAAATTTGCTTTTAAAGGGACAATTTTAGAAACCCTAGAGGCTGTATGGAGGAACTAAACAGCATTCCAAAAAGATCCTTTCATGTTGGAATGCTGTTTAGTTCCTTAATTACTAGAGCATGCAAAATTTATATAGATAACACGGCTTGTAGCAACTCACTATTCTCACTATTACTCACTAATTTTGAGATCTGAGTATATGTTACATGCTATAAACTGTATTCTGGATACAGTTATGACATGTTTACAAGTTTGTGATAATTGATTAATTGATAAAATAGATTAGGTAATCATTAATGACATATCCTCCTCGCAAAAGTTTATCATGGCACCACCTATTGGCCAGACAAGTATGGTGATGTGAGTAAAAGGGTTAGAAGGATTAGTGATTTCCCACAAAGTTGTCTTGGAGAGCCAGCAGAGTCATTTTATGTAACAAATTTGGAAATGAGCCAAGAACTTTCTCAAACGTGCATTATTTTTACTTCTAAATAAAAATACTTGTTTGTGCTAATTTTACTGCTGTTTTGAATTTTAAAAATTGATTTTTCAAGATGAGTCAGTCTCAATATTTGTGGCTTAAGTGGATAAATTCAAAACTTGGTTAACTCATGATGATGATGATATTTGTTCATTTTGTTCAATCATTTGCTGCATCTCATTTAGTGTTAAATACAATGTAATTAAAGCATTTACAAGGCATGCCAATTGCAAGAAGCATGAAAAAAGACATGCATCTTCCCTCTCCCCCAGCCAACAAAACAGTTTTTAAAAATGGTGACCATAGATGACATGATGGGATAGTTATAATCTTATTTTATCCATTAGTATGTATTTTCTATTAACAGGACTTATTGAACTGGCTTTAAGGATAATGCAACTCAGGTAAATTAAATAAAACAAAAACTTTATAATCTGTGAAACTGAGTTGCATTATCCTTAAAGCCAGTTCAATAAGTCCTGTTAATAGAAAATACATACTAGTGGACAAAATAAGATTATAATAAATTAAGGACATTAAGGCATATTACTTTAAATTTGATGGGATAGTTCTTTGAGTAAAATGGAATTAGCTGTAATTTCTTTGATGGTGGTGTTGCAATATTAACTTCATCTGAAATATGATTACAAATTTACTTTGAAGTACACAATAAAAGCGTGCATATCCACATGTAAATGGAGAATTTTCACATTTCTTTTGAAAGATTAATTCTTGATTTTTCAATTGGTTTCCATTCTTAAGCTTGATGTTTATTAATTAATGAATGTACTTTGCTCTAATGTAAGTCATTAATTTTTCCAAACTAAAATAAACTTTAGAAAGAATTCAAAAGAATTGGAATCGAGAAATTTTATGATTCCATCACTAGTAGAAACAAACATTATTGATCATGTACAAATAATATAGATAACTAGAAGAAATTACAGTAAAAATAAAAAATTATTAATCCATTGTAGTTACATATATCAGTTCCTGTATTTTTTTACTGAAAGGTTTCTCACTTTTTGGTCACATTTTACTCACTATTTCTGTCCAAAAACTCACTTTTCTTACTAGTTTTGACTTACATGTGTGCTAAGAGCACTGAGACAATGAAAGACAGTGGTGTACTGTAGTGGAGGCGGCAGGGGCAGCCCGCCCCAGGTGGCACTTTTTAGGGGGTGGCAAAATTTCACAATAAATAATAATAATAATATGTTGTAGAAATTTGAAACATCCTAATCTATACTTGCATTGCGCCTACGATAGTGCTATTGTCTGGACAGTCTGGGAATCGGCTCACCAGGTGAACTAGTAGCTTTTTCATCCGAGGGATTCCTGCGAAACCTATTGACCTTTTTTTTTTTATTTTTGCTTTTGCTTGTACGATTCATTCGCGTTCATATACACCACTAATATCCAACAGAACTATTTTAGACAGGTCGCTGCACTACCACCGAATTTTTCGTTACTTGTTCTGTGACAAAACTGAATTTTGGTCTTTTAAATTGAAATACCTAAATAAGGGGGGGGCGAAATTTTCCTCCGCCCCGGGCAGCTGACACCCACGGTACACCACTGATGAAAGAGTTTATTTTGGAGATTGATACTAAGTGAAATCATTTCTGCTAAAAAGTTTTTTTCTAAATTTAGTCTGTGAACATAGTAGATGCATCTTGTATGTTGATGTTTTGCTTTTCAAAAATGATGTATGTTAAAACTCAACTATTGTTATTTAAATTTAAATTCCTTCAACTCTTATTCAAAGAATTATTATTTGTAATAATGAGACTACTATTAGTTGTAATAAGAAACATTATTTTTATTCCAATAGTTACAAAAATTTTTGTAAACAAAATTAATGAAATATTGAATTTTTACATTGTTTTTTTCATTTTAGGGGTGGAAAGACAAAACTGCATATGCTATTTGTACTTTTGCATTTAGTGAAGGACCAAATGAAAAAGTGTTGCTATTTCAAGGACAGACAGATGGTGAAATTGTCTATCCACGTGGTGCTAGTGGATTTGGCTGGGATCCTTGTTTCTTGCCATGTGGATATTCCCAAACTTATGGTGAAATGTCTGCAGAACAAAAGAATAGTATTTCACATAGATTTAAAGCTTTACAAGAATTAAAAAGTTATTTCGAAAAATTATAAAATAAAGTTATTTATTTATTATAATTCTATTTTAGTGTTAAATATTGTTATATCAAAAAAAGCAAAGATTTTTGAGATGTGCATAATTCATTCTGATAGTAAATAATCAGAAATGATTTCTTCACTGTATTAACATTAACATATCATTTGTTTAAACTTTTTCTTCATAAAAGATTTACAGCATGTTTTAATACCCTCCTTGACAGTTTTTCAGCATTAAAATTCAAACAAGAATGATTGCATACATGGCAATTCTATAATTGCATACACTGTTAGCAAAAGAATTGTTTGCATACCACAAATTTTAATCACCAAACAAGTAAGGTAATGTTCAAAACTTACTAAAATGTATATATTATATACTGCAAACCATATTGTGTACAGTCGACCCCCCCTATAACACGGGTTCTTATAGTTTGGATTCCTATATCATGGCGAAAAAATCGCGACAGTATTCGTACAAACATGCTAAAACGAACTCCTATAATTTGGTAAAACATCATTGTGTCGCGTAAAACTCGTGTCGCGACAGGATTGGTCGAATCTAGACCAATAGTGGACATTGCACAAACCGTTGAGTTTAAACGAGCAGCGGACCTACTAAAAACCATTTATTATTTAACGTCCATAAAAATTATATTAATGATGTCTCCAAAGTTCAGCAAATTTTTCGCAAAAAAATAATTTATCAGGAATTACGCGAGTGCCATTTGATGACAAGCTCCATGACAAAAACAAGCTTTACGACAAAAACAATCACAGCCCGTCACGTATGCAGTAAACTGCATACGTGCCGGGCTGTGATTGGCTGGACTCGTAGAAAATGGATTCATAAAAACCAGAAGGTATCTACCGTGTTATAGGGGGTTGACTGTATTTGTATACATTGTATTTATTTTAAAATAAAAGTGAATCTTCAAAAAAGTCATCAAACAAAATACCATTGAAAATTGTGCAAAATGTTTTGCACAATTTGTGCAAAATGTTTTGCACAATTACAATTTTCAATAGTATTTTTGTTTGATGACTTTTTTGAACATAATGACAAACATTTTATAATATAAACATATGTTTATCAGATTAACTTTTTAATACTTTGTACCAATAGAACTTCCTTTTTGTTTATTAACTACTTTTCAATGACAAGGCATACTTGTAACTAGTTTTTCACAGTTGATGATTAGTATGAAATAAAAATGACCATCTGTTTCAACTCATACATTTCCAATGTTTCTGACAGAACCCTTATATGTTCCAAAATTTTCATTAATTTTACCAAAGATGTGCTATGTTCAAATTGTCTTTAAACCATTCATATTTTTTCAGAGCCATGTCAAAAAGACTTAAATTATAAATTACCTTTAATTATTTTACACTTAAAAGTACTTATTTTACTTTTAAGTGTAAAATAATCAAATTTAATATGTTGGCCATGATTTATATTTTATATTTACTTAAAAATATAAATTACCTTTTAACAATCTTGTTTTTTTCATTATTTATGCAAATAATTTCACTAATTCCTTTTTACAAAGGATAAAAATGAAGTAATCAGTATTTTCAGTACTTTGCCAATAATTTTTAATGGTATTTTGTTTAAATGATTTTTTTAAGATCATATTATTTTTATTTTAAAATAAATACATACAAAAAATATATATAAAATAATATATACCACAAATCATACTCTACGTTTGTAAATAAGTTTAGAAAGTTTCAAACAACATTTTATTATTCTGTCAATTAAAAGTGAAAAATGTGTGGTGGCCAAGTTTTTTGCCTGACTGCAGCTGAATGAGGTAATGTATTCAGATGTCATCACTTATGAAAAATTATCCTGGCTGCCTGTTGCTTTGGAGAATATGAATACAAATTTGGTTATAATTCATAATTGTATTTGTGAGGTCAGCCAATTTGGGGTGAGGTGTTCGACAGCCGAGCGGTTCGTTCTGTCTTGTGGGCGCAGAATGACTCTTTGAGACAGGTTTACCATTTTTAACCCATTTATTAAATATATAAATTTTCTTACAATGTCTTATAACGAGGCGTAATGCCTATTCAAAGGTGGGAAACGAATCCTTTCCAAAGATAAAAGTCCAAATGTCCAGATAGTCGTTTAGGTT